TATTATAAGTCTATTCATATTTTCTATTTCTTTGTAATTTCATCTTGGTAGGTTTTATGTTTCTAAGAACTTGTCCAGTTCATCTAGATTATCTACTTTGTTTGCTATATAATTGTTCACAGTACTCTTCTTACATTTCTTTTTGTTTCTATGGAATCAGTAGTAATGTCTCCACTTTCATTTCTGATTTCAGTAATTTGAGTCTTTTTATCCTTAGACCATCAAGTTAAAGGTTTTTCAATTTTGTTAATCTTTTCATAAAACCAACTTTTTGTTTCATTGACTTTCTCTATTGTTTTTGTATTCTCTATCTCATTTATCTCTGCTCTAATTTTTATTATTTTCTTCCTTCTACTAGCTTTGAGTGCAGTTCTTCTCTTTCTAGTTCCTTAGGTTATAAAATTAGGTTGCTGACTTGAAATATTTAATATTTTCTGTGTAAGCATTTACATGTATAAATTATCTCCTTAGCACCACTCTTACTGCAGCCCGTAAGTTTTGGTATTTTGTGTTTTCATTTTCATTCATCTCTAAGTATTTTCTAATTTCCCTTATGATTTTGGACCTTTAGTCCAAAGCCCACCTGGGCCAAACCCAAATTCTCACACATCCAATTGCTTTAAATGTAGTCTAAATTGGTCATTTAGAGCCTTCCTACTTAGCATACCCCATGAAACTATACCCAACCCCTGCTAACTATAAGACAAGCCCTGTAACTACCAAAAAAAGAAAACCCCAACTGCAGATGACCCAGAGTTCCCTGCTTTGCTGCTGAGTAACATCCCCTAAACATCACCTAGACATATAAGCCCCTTTTCTGATTTACCCTTCCCTCCTGGTAGGTACCTCATGCCCTCTCATGCAACCCTGTCCAAGCACCACCCAATAAAGTTGTTGTGTGTGTGAAATAAAACTATGAAGACACCAAGCTCTCCAGTCAAGATGCGCTCCCTGTGGCTAACAGAGATACTTTAAATTTGAAACAGAACCAAGCAGCCATAGCAGCAGTCACACACTGTGTTCTCAGAAGAAAACATAGCCCTTGACAAACATCGTGCTTGCACAACCCCAAGTGGGAGTAGATTCTGTAACCAAGTACTGAAAATTCTCCAACTGACCAC